TATTACAAGTTCTACAATTATCCATACATTTTTTACAAATATTATCTTATACAAAATATCCTTTCTTACAACTGAAATAATATTAATTAAATTCTATGCATGTTAATTTTGTAATATCATTGCAATATTTTAAACATCCATAACACAATTCCAAATTCTATAATTAACTATTAATATAAAATATTTCTTATTAACTTTCATTTCTATCATATCTTATATAAGTTTATATTAATTAATATCTCTTATAATCAAAAGTACAAACTGGATTCTAATACCATGTAGCTGAATTAAGTAAACAATCTGCACAATTTAATTGGAAATCATTAATTGAACTTGGACATTAAATACATTTATTATCAATTTAGAATTCTCCATATTTACATTTAAAAGTATTATTTTAATAAGTTTAATTCATAATTGGATATAATTCATTCATTTTATTACATTTTTAATTTAAATCTTAATCTACAAAACCAAATTCACATTAACAAAATCCATATTTCCATTATCTATTGGAATCTAATGGACATGTGATACAATCATTTTCTGTTGGTCCATTACAAGTTAAACAAGAATAATGACATTTCATATTGTATGTTAATTCTTATTCATAATTATATGTTATTTCTAATTAGATTTTACCACCCAAATAACTTTTATAAAAAAAACTATCTGCACCAACATATAAATAAACATATTAATCATGAAATTATAAAGCATTAAATGTTTAAGTTAATTCTTAATCATTTGGATATATTATTTTTAAATAAGTCTTATCTTCCAAATATTAAAAATAAATATAATGCCATCTTTAAAATCTATCTCTATTTGTAGTATTTTATATTACAAATACATTAGCACTTTTTGTTTAAAAAGCTAATTAAGGATATGGATATGGATAAGCTAAAACACTTACATTAAATAAATTATAATTATTTAAACTTGGATCTAAAATGTAACTCATCAATAATACTCTATCTCCCAAAAAACTATCATTACGATAATTTTCATTTAATGTCAATCTCATTAATAAATATCTCTGTCTCTCTATTACATTTTCATAACTCACTTTTACCCAACATCTAACTTGATATCTATAACCCAACATAGATAATTATGTTGAGTAAAATGTATCACCAAGCAATTGAATTCCATTAAAAATATCAACAACTGTTTTATTATAAGATTAAGGACTTTGAAAATTACCAATAAAATATTAATCGAATTCATTATCATCTTTAAATGGAGATCTTATGAAACTTTACACTTTACTGTATTTCCCATGAAAATAATCAAAATTTAAGTTACTCACCTAAACAATAAATTAATTTTTTTAATTACTTTTCCATATTAATTTAATACAGGGATTACGTTCTTTGTATTTAAAATAACACTCTACAATTTACTACCTTTTATATATAACTTTGATCCTCCCTCTAGACTCTCAAAATAAGCATAATACCAAATTCCTTCAAAATTTGTTGGATCTTAAGTTAAATTAGTAATTATTCCTTCATCATTTACTGTAATATTTAGTATAGGAGAATTGAAAGAAATCCACATATATAATTTTGTTGATGGTTGTTCTGAATGGAAATTGTAATTTGCCATTATATTCTATCCTGTATATATAGATTTGTCATTTAAAATAAATTCTCCTGATGCCTTTATATTAGAGAAAGGTAAATATTGAAACCAAAATCCATAATGTGTTGTCACTGAAATACACTATTTAATTAAAAGTAATAAGACTAGCATATAATAAAATTATTCAATTAAATTAATTTGTAATATAATTCACTTCATTTTCTTTATCTGTAAACAATTTTCTTTTAACATTTTTGATATCTGATTCATTTAACTTATTTGATGTTCCTAATATTTTTTAAGGAGCCTTAGGGTTGTTTGATAACTTTGTCAATTTCTCAGGAGTTGACACATTTTTCACTTCATCATATAATTTTGCCTTCATATAATAAAATAATTATTAAACTTTGTTCTTCATAATTCTAGCAATTTATTATAATGAATAATTTAATGCTTGTAAAATTTAGACATTTTTTAATTCTTAATTTAATTGATCTTAATTTTCAATTTTAAATACTTATTTCTTATTTGTTATTTATTAGTATATTAACATTTAAAATAAATAAGAACCATATGTTTAATAAATAATATATATATAAGTATCAATAAATAAATGATAATATTGTTTAGATAATTCTTATAATTAAATTTGAAAGAAGAACATGAATTATTAAATTAAAATGAAAAGTATAGATTATATATATCATATTTATGTTTTTGTTTATTAATATTTATTCTTAATTTAATATTAAAATGGCAGAATTTAAAGAAGTACAAAATTAAATAAAAATATTAGGACAAATTCTTTCGTAAGTAAGGAGATTCAGATGATTCTGTAGAGAAATTAAAAAAAAAAATATCTAAGCCAAAGTAATAAAATTTAATATCCACATCATAAAAAATCAAAGAAATGTTTAAAAAGTAACAATTTAAGGATATTGTTAATTGGGCAGAAAAAGATACATCTATAACACTTCATGAATATGATGAAATGAAAGTGAATTCCTAAGTTTTGAAACTTGGATAATACGCTTTAATAAAAAATGCTAAAAATCCTTCTGAAGATTTCGTTGGTAAAATTTAAAGAATTGTTACAATAAAAGAAAACAAATCAACAAAATTAATTTGTTTATGTGAAGTTAATTGGTATTTCTAAAATTCAAGAAAGGTTTTATCGAAAAAGTGAAATAATAAAATTTAAACCCTAAGCCAAATAATGGATATCCAATAATGAAGTCTTCAGTACTAATTGCACAGATTATATTTTGGCATCCTCTATATTGTCACCTTGTCGAATTGTAACTTTAGAAGAATATGAAACTTGTTCTCAAGTTGATAAAGGAGTATTTTTTACTAGATTAGAATGGTTACCTACAAAAAAGAAATTTGATGGTTTATCTAAACTTTAAAATCATTGTACTTGTAAATAACCCCAAAATCCAGATTAAATATATATTTAAGTATTTTCTTATCTATAATTTTAGTGTGACAAATGTTAAAAGTGGTATCATATAACATGTGTAGGATTGAAGAAAGGAGAATATGAATAAAAAGAATACATTTGTGGATGTTGTAGATGAAATATATATTTAATAATAATATTTATTTAAAATATGGGAATTGATTCTTTATTAAAAGCTCTTAAATCTGTCACAAAACCCAGACATATTTCAGAATATTCAAATAAAAAAATTGCTGTTGATACATATTGTTGGTATTATGAATACTTATAACTTAGGTTACATAAAGGGATATTCTTATGTGCTTAAGAATTATCAGATGGAAGAGAGACTAATGAACATATAAATTATTGCTTAAAAAAAGTAGAGTAACTCAAAAAATATAATATTACTGTTGTTATGGTATTTGATGGAGCAAAATTACCAAGTAAAAAATCAACAGAAGAAGAGCGGGAAAAGTAATATAAATATAAATATTTTAGAAAGAGAAATGACAACCTATAAAAGCATTTAGAATATAAATAATAAGGAGAAAAAGATAAAGCCTATGTAAAATTAGTTGAATCTATAGATGTTACACCTTAAATGGCATCTAAATTATTGGAAGCATTAAGAATAAGGAATATTGAATGCATAGTAGCTCCATATGAAGCAGATGCTTAATTGGCTTATTTATCTTTAACAGAATATGTTGATGTAATAATAACTGAAGATTCTGATTTAATTGCTTATGGCGCTAGAAAAGTACTTTATAAATTGGATAAATTTGGTTATGGTGAAGAAATTGATTATGATTCTATTCAAACATGCACGGAATACAATTTTTAGAATTGGCATCATTAAAAATTTCTTACATTCTGTATTTTATCAGGATGTGATTATTTGGGTTCAATAAGTGGTATAGGAATAAAAAGAGCATATCAAGTAGTAGCAACTTCATAGAATTATAAATAAGCTATTGATAATCTTTAGAGGAAATAAAAGGTCTCTGTTCCTTTTGATTATGTTGAATAATTTGAGAAAGCATATCTAACCTTTTTATTTTAGAGAGTGTTTTGTCCTGTACAAAGAAAAATGGTTACAGTGAATACTTTTGATACTGACATATTATATCCTTAAATGAAATATCTTTTGGAAGGAAATCTTGATTTTTTAGGTAGTGTTTATACGGATACTTTGATTCAAGATATTGCTGATGGTAGAATCTGTCCATAAGATTTAAAACCATATTTTCAATCATCTAAGAATTTAAAATAATAAAGTTTAGATAATAAATAATAAAATGAAAATGATAAAATAGAAATACCAACATTTGGTAATGGTAAACCTATTCAAGTTTTCAAGTTTATTAAAAAATCGCAATCAACTAAAATAAATCCAGAAGAATCTTTTGAAAGATCAGGAGAATCAAAAATTATCAATAATTCTTAAGTTATTAATTCAAAATCTACTGAAAATAATGAAAAATTTTAAATTGAAAATTAATAAAATTATGAATAAAGTAATTTATTTTCAAGTTAATAAGAGACTCTTAAATAAAAATCATTAATTAATTCTAATATTTTGGCTAATTAAAATAAAAAGAAGAGTACTAAAATTATAATTAAACATGAATAAAAAAAAATTAATTAATATTTCCAACCTTCATTCAAACCTTTCAAACCTCCATCATCTCTTATTTAGAAATAAGACTAAATTGTTTCAGAAGTCAATATTATTGAAGAAGAAATTCAAAAAATAGATTAATAAGGTATTTCATAGGTAGAAGAAGAATTTCAATAATATAGTATCTCTGAAGAGTACTCTGATAATTTCTAGAAAAGATTTTATTATACTGATTTTGGTTTATTCTTAAATCAGGAACTTCAATTTAAATAAATTTAGTTTTGAATTCTGTATTTAATTATATTTTTACTTTATTATTATTATTATTAGAATTATATTCCAAAATCTATGATAATAAATAATAGATATGAAATAAATACCTATGATAGAATTGGTTAAGGATAGTTTAGTAATGTGTTTCCTTGTGTAGATAGATATAACTTACATTTAAATTTAGCTGCTAAAGTAATATTTATTGATATTTAGATAATTGGATAGCCATAAAGTAATATTGAAAGATCTCGAAAAGAATTTGAGATTTAAGATTCTTTATAAATATTCTTAAATCCACACATTTTAAAATGTTATTAGCTTTGTTAACATGAAGATAAGTTAGCAATTATAATGGAACGTTGTGAATTGGGAGATTTGAATAAAAAAATGAAAGCTCTAAAAGCTGAAAATTAAAGATATAATGCTAAATAAATTATCGATTTTCTATGTCAGATTATTGATGGTGCCTATCTTATGTATCAAAATAAAATTTTTCACAGAGATATCAAACCATAAAACATCCTATTAACAAAAGATTCAAAAAATAATATTGTATATAAGGTAATTAATATCTTATGTAAAGATTGGTGATTTTGGATCAGCCAGAATAGTGGAGGATATGAGATAGGAAGGTAATTTCACACAATGGCACACTCCTGTTTATTAATCTCCTGAAATTTATTTTAAGGAGAAATTTTCACCTTAATCAGACATATTTTCTTTTGGAATAGTTCTATATGAATTATGTTTCTTAGAACTTCCATTTAAAAATTAAAAATAAGAAGATTTCTTTAAATAATTAAAAAACAATTAAATCTAAATAAATATGAATGGTATTTAAGGTAATGAACAAGAATTAGATATTATTAAATCCATTTTAGTAAAAACAATAGTTTATGAATAATAAAACAGAATGGACTGGTATGGCTTGTATTTATTAATTACAAATTTTTAATAAAAATCTTAAATTTAAGGTTAAGTTGCACTAAACTAAAATGATAAATATATCATTGCTAAATAACATATTAATTTGTTAATAAGTAAATAAATATTGGCTAAAAATTTAATGATTTAATTTGAAATTTGTTAGTAAATAATATTTTAATATTTTAAGTTAGAAAAAATTGATAAATATTTCAAAAGAAATTTTTAAATTATCTTTTACAACACTAGCTTGTTGCAAATACATTTTAATTTTATCTATCATTGCATTTATTCACAATGATTATAAAAAACTTAGTCTAAATATCAAAAATTTCATTCCTTAATAAAGATTTTAAGAATTATCATAAAGTTATTAACAATACTTGACATAAGAAGATTATGAAAATATAAAAACTAATGATCTTGATCTAAAATAAAATACATATACAGAAAATGTAAGAATATTTTAATTTATAATATAGATGGTAGATCATTCTATAAATTTGATTAATAATATACAGAAAAATAATTAGAATCAATTTTAAAGTTTACTTGAAAATTTTATTTTATTTAGATCTTATATTAACAATATTGAAATGTCTATAGATTATGAAAGATTTTTAGATCTATAGAATGAGATATTTTAGAATCAACTAATAGGGTAATTTCCCTTAGATAAAATGTTTGGAGATTTAGCGATGTAAATATATGAATCATAATATTTATTAATTAGTTTATTAGCATTATGGAATGCTTATAGTTTAAGTGAAGTATATTACCCACAATCAAATTTTAATGTGATTTAGGATTAAGTTCCATAATTAAAAATATAATTTAATGAATTTGAGGCCATATAATATTTACAAGAAGTTTTATTTTGATATTTGTTATTATTTTATTTGAATAATAAACTCAATTTAATTAGTATCACCGTTAAAATTGTGTATTTTTTTAAATAAATTATTTTTTTAATATTTTTTGTTTGATCATGATAAAAGATAAATCACCTATTTAAAAAGGAAACTACATCATTTTGAGAGATAAACTTATAGGAAAAGGAAGACATTCTTTCATTTATGATTGTATTAATGAACTTGATAAATAAACTCCCTTTTGTGCTAAAATATTTTTTAATACAACAATACCAAGAACTCTACAATTTGATAAATTAAAAAACATTAATAATACAAATCTCTTAAAATATTATGAAATATTTGAACATAACAAAGATGTTATTATTATAATGGAAAAATGTGATTGTAATTTAAAAAATATTATTGATAAATAACCTCTATCTGAATTGGATACATATTAATTATTAAGATAATTCTTAAGTGGGTATTAAACATTAATTGATGTTGATCTAGATTTGAGAGAATTGAAACCAGCAAATATTTTAGTTAAAAATAATGTTTATAAAGTATATCATATTCTATTTTGATAAGATATCAAATTATGGAATATCATCTTTGTACAAAGTAGTAGAAGGGGAAACTAAACCATTTTCTGCTCCAGAAATATTTTATGAAAAAGAGTAAACAAGAATTAAGGATATATTTTCAGTATTTATTTAATCAAATTTTATCAAGCTTGGTTTAGTTTTATATTTTGGATTTTATAATTAATTACCTTATACATATAGAAGTGCAGTAGATTAAGTAGCATTCTTTAGATAAATTAAATCAATTAACTTTGAAATTAAGAAAGAAGTATAATATAATAATAATGAATGTAGATTCCTCTAAATTTAAAATAATTATTATAATCTATGATTATCTATGACCCTTCTCAAAGAATTAAAATTGAAGAATTATAGTTGCAATTCAATATAGAGAATAAAGTCATATGATTATATTATTATTTAATAAATTATAATAATATTTTCAATTATATTGTCTAAATTGATTAATTTCATCTTCTATTTCTTGATCTTCTTATTATTTATATAAAATAATTACATTAAGCATGATTATTTGAAAGTGAATGGAATTGATCATTATCATCATCAATATCTTCATGCTTCATTTTTGATCCAATTTAATCATTTTTCAATAATAATGGCTAATATTGAATTTAATCATTTACTTTTTATATTAAAGCATTTGTAACTTTAAATTTTCCCTCTAATTCATATATTGCTCCAGTTTCCTCTGATTCTGCAAAAACTAAATTAACTACTTCTTCTTGAATTTCATTTGTGTAAAACAAACTTAAGTTTTTGATTATTTAATTAAGTTTGGCACTGTTTCCAAAAGAACAAATCACCTTAATCAAACAATCTATTAATTGATTAGGAAATTATAAATTAGGAACATCTGGGTAATATCCTTAATCTTAATAATTAATTTCAAATCAATACTATAAGGCTATCTTATTTTCTTTTTAACACATTACTATTATAGTTCCCTTCTGGTTCTTTTCTCTAATAACAAATTTGGAGAAGGTTTCCTCTCGATTATTCTTTCTTCAGATGGTGCTTATTTAATCTTTTTGATATTTTTTTGAATAGGTTATTATTGAACAGGTTGTTATTGTTACTATATCTATTAAGGATTCTATTTTTAATATTATTTTCCATTTTTGACTCTAGCCATCTTAAACTCTATTTAAATTATTCAAATAATGCGGTAAATTTAATTTAATTAAACACACTTTTATAAAATTTAAATTATAATATTTTAATGTATTTATAAATTTTTAATTAATCATTTTTATTCATAAACTATTTTTTCTAATTGTAATGATCTATGATGGTGATTTGGCCCAAAATTTTTCTAGTGGAAATGCTGATTCTAAAGTAAGTACTTTATTGATTTGATTCTAATTAGGAAAGACAGTATCTTCAAACCACTTGTTGAAAAAGAATACAAACCAATGTAAATAACTTATATAATTATTCTAATCGTTATCTCTCTCAACAACTTTTGAATAGAATTCTGGATGTTAATTTTCAAGTTCTTGAATTTATGATACAAATTGTTATGAATCCTATTTATTTAATCATAAATTTACTCTATAATAGCCATTTAAATGTCCAAATTATGAAACAATAATGCTTCTCATTTATTAACTATCTTAAGTATTAGATTTAGAATAATCATAAATTAAATCATTAAATTTTGGGAATATTTAAATGATAGAATTATGACAATAATTATCTTAATTTGTACACATTCCCATTGTATTTGAACAAGCAAAATATTTGTAGCTAAAAAGGCAGAATAATAAAATTTATAATTGATTTTCTGCAATTATACTTTATTGTTCTGCTAAAGCTATAGCCAAATCATATGCAACATCACCTTTTGACATAATTATTTCAGCAAGATGTTTTAAGCCATTTAAATTTTATGCATCTTCCAAAGAATTATACAATTTTTTTGAAAAATGATAATATGGAGTATTAGGCCTCTTTTAGAATTTAACCTATTATTTTTATACTAATAATGAGGATTTTCTGATATGGGCTGTTTACAAGGCTTATTATCCATTAAATAATGGATGTTCAAATAAATCAATCCAACTAATTCTGTTTTATTCTTCATAAGAAAGCATTTATTCTATTAGAACACAGATGCGAAGATCTATCTATTATTGTAAATGCTGCTTACATTTTCATCTCTAGGGCAAGTAATTTTATTTTACTTAGAACTCCTCAATAAAGGAATCTATTCTGCTTATGTTTTACCATTTATAGGTTTTTCCTTAAAAATTAGTTCATAAAAAATAACCCCTAACTATCTTATTAATATATAATTTACAGAGTAAACATCACATTTGTTAGTATAATTAGGGTCAAAGAAGATTTAAGGGGCAGAATAGGCAGGAGTCCCAACATTTGAAGATTAAGTTGAATTTATGAATCTACCCATTCCAAAATCAGCAAGCTATTAAATGAACATTTAGAATACCTTATAAAATCCACTTTAAATTAAAATGTTTGCTGGTTTAAGATCTCTATGAATAAATTCAACTTCATAAAGACTCTTATATCCTTTGATAATTTGAGCTATAATGTTCAAACTTTCTTAATGAGTATACCATTAATTATGTTTTTTCTTATATTCCATTTCTTTCTTCAAATCACCTCCTTTGCAATATTCCATAATGATGTAAACTTCATTATCACCTTAATTTTAAATGACATCAAATATATGAACAATATTTGGATTTTAAATAGGTGAGTCTCTAAGCATTCGTAATATTTATAATTCTCTATCAGTAAACTTCTTTTATGGTCCATTGGTTAATATTTACTTATTTAAAATTATGAATTACCTTTGCACAAAATTCTTCTCCATCATAAATAGCTTAATAAACTAATCCATAAGATCCTTTTCCAATCAGTTCTTTCTTGTTCAAAGTATACTTTCCAATTTTTATTACAGATTTAGACATTTAATTTTAAATATAAAATAGAATTGTGATTAAATTCCAATACTATTTTTAATAACAAAATCATCATGAATAATTATTTAGGATATCATCTGCCTCTTAATTATCATATTCAATTTTCCAAAATAGATTGTGATTGAATAAAGAAGAAATATTGTCTCCTATTTAAGTGATATCTTTCATATTTTCAGAAGTCATTTACTAAGAATCTTAATTATTATTATTTCCTTGAATTTTATCATATTATTTATTATCTTAATCGTTTTCTTCAATCCAAACTTGACCATCATTCATATCCATTAAAATATTTTCATCTTCTTCTTCTAATTATCCATCATGTTATTAATTATTATTTTCTAATTCTAATTCTTATTCATTTTTTTATATTTCCTTATCTTAATCTTATTATTCTTCTAAATTCTATTAACCATAATAAGATTCATTAAATTTCTATATAATTTAAATAAATTATACTTGTAATATTTACATAATATCTGATTCTTGATCATCAGCTATTTCTGATTTAGCTTTAGGATTTACATTACATAAATAAGATTTCTCTTTTTGATTAATATTGCATAGTCTATTTTTAACAAAATTAAACCATTATTAATCTATAATTGATTATTATTATGTTACTGTCTTTATAATATTGTAGTATGGATTTATTGTATGATTTTTCAATCAGATAATTTGATAAGGAAGTCAAAAGAGCTAAATATCCCTTTTTATCATTTTATTCTGTATGGTATTCAACTATAAATTCAATTAGCTACCCAAATTCAAAGACCTAATATAAACATTAATGTAGATTAAACTTTCTCTATTAATTTTTCATCATTTAAATCTAAAATAGATTTGATAATCTTTTCTGTTATGATATGAATTTAATTATTAGATGAATATTAAATACAAATAGATTCTAGTACTTATATCAACCGAGCATTTAATAGAGTTTCAATAATACAGATATCAGTAGTTCTATTAATATATTATTTATATTATATATACTGTATAAAAGTTTAAATTAACTTTAGTAACATTATTTTATGTAATCCAAATGGTTACACTTATTCTTAATTAGAATTTTAGAAATGAGCGGAACTATATCTTATACTTAATAAATTTTCAGGTATTTTAGACACTATATTGTAAAAAATTGAGTAATCTTTCTCATTATTATGAATAACTTCATCATCATCTTCTTTTTTTGATTCTTTTGAAGTCATTTCAACTAAATTGATGAGAACTTATATTGGTTATGGTTTTTATGTTTTTATAGCAATTTCAAATAGTAATTCTGGTCTTTTAATTTAATCAATAAATGGAGCAATATCTGCATTATTATAATATAAACAATTCATATTTTTAGAAGTGATTTCAGTTAGAATATCACAAATATTTTCTACAATTTCTGAACAATAATATTTATTCTACATCATAATAATAATTCTTTATAATAATGTTTTTCTTTCATTAAAAAATG